TTCGCCTGGGGCCGCAAGAACTACCGCGGCCCGCCGACAGAGAGCCTCGGCGAAGATCTCGTGCAGGAGGATCATGCTGCTAGCGGTTCTAAAAAAGACTAGTAGGGGCTGCTTCATTGGATCGAATTTAATTTCCATATATTATATTTCAACGTATGATAATTCGCGAGGTGTTTGGCGTCGCATGTCGAAGGGGTCCGTTCAACATGCTATGGACCTAGAGGAGCGAGCCCCTGGAAGGCGCCAGGGGAGGACCTGCTCCCGATAGGCCTTCTGAAGGCGTGCGGAGCACCGTTAGCTGAAGTGCTGGCCCTTCTGGCGACAAGGTGCCTGGAGCTAGGATGGTTCCCCAGCCGTTTTAAGAGGGCGAAGACTGTAGTACTGCCGAAACCAGGAAAGGCTCCGCCGGTGTATCAGACCCCGGGGGGATACAGGCCCATTGCTCTGCTACCAACCCTGGGGAAAGTAATAGAGTCGGTGGTCGCCACGAAGGTCACCCTAGCGGCAGAGGCCAACGGCCTGCTCCCAGACGAACAAATGGGAAACAGGGCACACCGCTCCACGGAACTAGCTGTCCGGCTAGTGGTAGCCCAGGTCCAGGAGGCGTGGAGACAGAAGGGTGCGGCGTCTCTATTGCAACTGGACATTTCAGGAGCCTTTGACACGGCCAACCATACCCGACTGCTAGCAACTCTGCGGGAAATGGGCTACCCGAGGTGGCTGGTCCTCTGGATAAGAGACTGGTTGACCGGCCGAGAGGCCACCCTCCTTTTCGACGGCAAGGCAGCGACCCCAACGGCGATTTGGGCAGGGGTCCCCCAGGGCTCCCCGCTTTCACCGGTCCTTTTCATTCTCTACATTGCCTCTCTATACAAGCAGCTGAAGGACGAACATCCCCACTTGGCTATTGTGGGGTTTGCGGATGACACCAACCTCCTGGCTTTCGGCCGAAACCCCCGAGGTTAACATCCGGCAGCTGGAAGGGGCATGGGAAACGTGTCTACGATGGACGGAAAGTCGGGGGATGAAGTTCGCCGCGGAAAAGAGCCAACTCATCCATTTCAACAAGGGGCGACGACAGTGGACCAAACAGGTAAACCTTACTAACACAGGGGGAGGCACTAGCCCCGTCAAACCAGAAGGGTCTGCCAGATTCCTGGGAGTCTGGCTGGACTGGAAACTCAACTGGAAAGCTCACCTGGTGGCGGTGGAAAGGAAGCTGAGGACCCAGAGCTACGCCCTGTCGAGGATCGTGGCAAAGACGTGGGGAATGGGGCTAGCCAAAGCACGAGAAGTATACACAAAGTGCATCCGGTCGGCCGCTGGGCCTATGGCGCATCATCGTTTCACATCCCCACGGATGTGGGAGGCGAGCCGGTAAAGAAAGGCATCACTAAGGCCCTCGGGAAGGCCCAGAACAAGAGCTTGCGGATCGTTGCGGGAGCCTTTAAGTCTACCCCAATCCGTAATCCTCGAGACAGAGACCTGGGTCCCAACATTGGACTCGTACCTAAACAAACGGCTTGCCGATTTCGAAAACCGACTCCAACGACCCGATCTGGACGACGGTCAAGGCGGCAATAAGAGGGCGGCGAGCGTTGTCCTCTCCACTTGTCGCAAGATACAGCAGAGTCTTAGCTCGAGGAGGGGCAACAGGGGCCGACCGCGAACCT